ATTAATTGTGTGCATGTACCATCATAAAATTAAGATGTTATTTTTACTAGAACATAGGTATTGTGTTGGAAAAAGTGGAGTTTGGGGGTCAGCTGGTCTCTATTTCATTTAATCCCATATGTTATGTTATTCACTTTACGCGTTTCTCACTTTCCGCGGTACCCTGTGGGTTACATTAACCGCGTAAAGTGAGGGTTGACTGTGTATATAGATGTCAAAACACTTGGTTTGCTGGCAAGTGGTGACATTTGGCAACTGAGAACACGTCACGGCTTGTAGTCAGTGCGCCTCTGGCAACTGTGAGGGGAAGATTTATTGTGCGGGTTTCCGCGCCATGTGGCCATGTTTTGTCTAGTTTAAGGTGCATTAACCCGACATAGTGGCCATCAGAGATGTCCATTAGGGTTACTACAAGAGACGATATTGCAGCAGTGAATGCATTGTACAAAGCGAACCATGTATTGAGAGAAATTTTTGCTGGCATTACGAGTTGTTCAAAATCTTGTCAAACGTTTCCGTGACCTTGGAGAGGACGAGTTACCAGCTCCATTACCTAAGTCTGGTAGGCCTAAATTATTGTCTCCACTGACACTTAAGGTTATTTCTCGACAAGTTCGGTCCAATCCCTCACTCACAGCACGTGAAGTGAAAGAGAGAAACCCCCGTCTTTTGAGTCAAGTCTCGTTACGTTGTTTTCAACAAGCCCTGCACGATGACCTGGGATTTAAGAGCTTTCGTGCCCGCCGTAAACCTATGTTGACGAAGAGATAAAAAGGAAAATAGAGTGAAATTTTGCAAGAAATATGAAGTGTGGGATTTAGAGACATGGAGAAGTGTATTGTTGTGAGGGCGCGTGTTTCCCACACCTCTACACCCTCATCTTACTTACTTCTCTTATCTTAGTTCTTACTCTTACTCAGTTCTGTCACCTATTCTTTTGGTAGCATGGACATTCTTTTGGTAGCATGGTCATTCTTTTGGTAGCATGGTCGAGGGTCTAGGCACATGGGTATGGTAATTCTGGTATCAAGTCACTTGGACGGAAATAAAGGTAAAATACTGTGGGAGAAATGAATACACCTAAAGTACTCTAAAAACAAATTTATTAATATGAAATCAAAGGGGAAAAGATATATTATTAATCATATAACTAACAGGTTCAACTCCTGGGCTTATTGCAGACTCAGTACTTTCTTCTTTACTTATTTTCATATTTACTTATTTTCCTATTTCTTTACTCAACAGTAATTACTCAGATCTTACATTCTTACTGCACACAACATTACTGGTGTTACATTACATGGCATAGTAGGACCAGTTCATTGGCCCTACTCACAATACATAGTACATGGCACTCATTGTAGATTACTTTACTCAACATACTCGTTAATACTGACACTAGCATATACAGGGGTCCACTACCCAACATGGGATAATTATTTCCAACTAATTATCCCTAACATACATGTTACAACTCTCTCTGTGGACATATACTTCCAAGGAGTAACCCAGGGTAGAACACTGGGGCTCACGACTGTTGTTGTGGTCGGTAGTAGCCAGACACATGGCGGGTCTGGGGTCTGGCCCAACGAGACAGTGAAGCACATTAATCAGGCCGCATCGGTGCCATCGTCTCGTATATGGTCCCTGCTGGGTATCTACTACATCCGGGGCCGTTGTTGAACGATGCAAGAATCACAATGGGATCTGGAGAAGCATTGGAGCAGCGTCAGGGAACGGACTGGGAAGCATGACAACACAAACAACTCTCTTGTCTAGACGACAGACGTATTTACGTTATATTACTTCTACACTGGGTGAATGACAATTCAACTGTTAAATCATGAACACTGATGAACACTGGTATTCACTACAATTGACTGAATTAACTGAATGGCTACACAAACATACCTGAAGAAACATTGGAGCAGCGTCAGGGAACGCTTTCCCTGGCGATGCATGGGTATAAATACCCCTGAGTTGCCAGTGATCGCTACTCACGCAACCACAATAATCACAAACAAACTAACTGTTACTCATTCAAAGATGACCCTCAGCTGACAAAGGTCTGGCGAATTACTTGAGTTGATATACACAGACTAATTCAAGATTGAGCTTCCCAGGAGAAAGTGGAATAACAACGCATTGATAACTGTCTTCACAAAGGCGGGGCAAACTAGGAGGAAAACACAAGTGTAGCGTCTATGGGGAAAAAACACGTCTTCTCAGGGGTCGCTAACTCACTCATGTTTTGCGGTCATGGAGTTTAATAAGAATCATTAGTTAAATAGATCAGCAGTCAACGTGACCATGACATTGTGGTCCGACGAGGCTATGTTTTCTGTGACTGGGAGTACAGTGAGTTCTGCTATAACACGTGTTTTGATAACGCGAATTTGCTCTAACGCGATTTATGAATTTGGAACGATATTTGTATAACGCAAACGCTTGTTTGCTATAACGCGATTTTTGCTTACTATTTCTCCAATTTTGTGGTATATTAACTGTGAATATAGTAAAGAAGAAAATCAACAAGAAGCGTTCTGGTGATAGAATTCCCGGTGATGATCGTAAAAGAAAGGCTATAACACTTGAAGAGAAGCTTGATTTTATCAACCTCAAAATCACCCTTCTCCCCATCACGTAAAGTGTTACATTTACTGTATGATTTCATTATTAGATATGAATGTAACATTTATTTAGACTGTGCTATCCTTTGTGTTAGGCTAACTACTAAATTTTTTCGATTTCGAGTAATCTGCACCTAACCCTATTTTCTCCATAAGCCCTGTTATTTCTATTACGCGATTTTCTATAACACGATATTTTACAAGAACACAATTATCGCGTTATAGCAGAACTACCTGTAGTGGTGGGAGGGTGTACCGCCCGCCCCACTCAGACGCACACCTCTCATAGTACAATGTAAAGACTGTTAAGCACCCTGCCTCGCTTATGGTTTGGGCTTCCTTTACGTATTATGGTGTTGGTGAACTAGTAATCCTCCCTAAGAACCAGATGATGAATCAGTTCAACTATCTTGAACTGCTCAGTGATTTCTTACCTGAATCATTTGATAAGGCTAAGGCAAGCCTTTTCATGCAGGACAGTGCCCCATGCCACACTGCTAAAAGTGTCATACAGTGGCTCAAAGACTGTGAGGTACCTTTCTTTAATGACTGGCCTGGCAGTAGCCCAGATCTTAACCCAATAGAAAATTTGTGGTCCATTGTTGAGCGTCGTCTGCGCGATGCTGACACATCATCAATCCCGAAGCTAGAGGCAGCCATCAAGGATACCTGGGCTAACTTGCCACCTGACCTCTTGCAAAACCTTACTGACAGTGTTCCTCGAAGGCTAAAAGATTGTCTGAAGCGCAGAGGAAACACTACAAAGTATTAATTGAAGTGGTAAGTTTTACTTGACTTTATTTATATAACATAATCGTAAATATCAATATCTTTTCAGCACACGATTTCATATTCCACGCAGACTGTATATATATTGGGCTAATGAAATATATATGGATCCTCGTGTTTCGAAGCCAGATTTGGTAAAACGTTACTCTGACCACCTACGTGATACGGGTAGTCCCCATTAGAGGTTCACGGCGCCATAATCTCATTGAATAGGCTTTGTGTGAAATATAACAGAGTCTAGGACTAATTTTAGTATCCTGGTGGTCCAGTAGGTAGCGTTCCCCGGTCACAGTCATGGGCTCGTGGGCCGTGGGTTCGAATCCTGGCAGGTTGAGGTGTTGATTATATATATATATATACAGTGAACCCTCACTTTACGCGGTTAATTCAACCCACGGCGGCCCACGTAAAGTGAGAAACGCGTAAAGTGAACAACATAACATATGGGATTAATTGAAATAGAGACTGGGCCGACCCCCAAACTCCACTTTTTCAGACACAATACCTACGTTGTAGTAAAAATATCTTCTTAATTTTATGATGGTATGCACACACAATTAATAATTAAGAGAAATATCAATAATACTAGGTTTTTTAACACTTACATTAGTAGAAAAGATGGCTGGGCACACGGGGATGGGGGGTTGGTTCCGAGGCAGAGGGCAAATTATTGGCCCTCACCTGTATCACTTGTATCAATTGTATCACTATCCACCACAGAGGCTTGCAGGGCCTCTTTGTCAAACCCCTCAAAGTCCATATAAGTCCATATCCTCACTATCATTATCACTATCACTGACTTGGGCCGGCTGTGGTGGGTGACGGGTGAAGAACTCGGTAATGTTTTGACGACTGGGCGACCTTGTTCGCACCCTGCTTGCGCCGCTCTCCGCGTAAAAGGGTACACACACCGCGGAAAGTGAGCATTCCGGTTTCGGCAGGGTACTGCGTAAACACGTAAAGCGAGGGTTGACTGTAGTGGCATTTTAAACATTGTTCTGCAAGTATGTCTACTTAAGAACATTTTCAACTTAAAAAAAAACGTAGGAACGGAACTCGTACGAAACCTGGGGGTTGCCCGAATGTATATCAACCTGAAATGAGTTAATTTCTTCAGCCTTTGCCACATGAAAATGGATGAAACATGTCTTTTAACAAATTTATTTATTTATATATTATTTTACAAGTGATTTAATTTTAAAGAGTAAGGATTAACTATTCAGAATATACTGCATATAGCTTTTTATGTTTATTACTAGTAATAACATATCAAATGATAAAAATCTTTAAATACGTATTTTACTTTTGCATCACCCACCTTGTTTTTTATTTGGCTTTCAGTTACTGCTAATCATGTTACATCGTACCCAGCGGGTTAAAGTGGTAAATATGACAAGGAGAGATGGTTAGTCTTTAGATCAACCTCCAGTTGCCAGTTAGTATCCTCGATATCTTAAAAGGGTTTGTGCAATAACAAGAGCTGCCTGGTAAGGGCATCAAGCTAGAAATTAATTACTGTATTTGTGTGATATTTTATCACTTTAATATTTTATTATCTAGCATTATCTTGAATTTTTTCAGGTGACTGTATTTAACCTCAAGTCTGCAGACCCATTCCTACACATCCGTGCCAAATACTGTTCACCCACACAATCCCAAGCTTCTTCTACCAGAGGTTCCCCAACTCACTCCCGAGCCACACCCAGCAGGGTGACACTTTCTGGAGACCCCTCTCCAGGGAATTCATCATCTGAAGGCACACCACCTCCTCCACAGGAACCTCATGTGCCACCTTCTCCACCTGCTGTGTCTTCCATGCCTGCCACAGTATCAAATACAATTACAGACAGTTCCATAAAAGACAAAAACAGCTCCATTCCCAAAGAGGAATATTCTGCTGTTACTGTAAAGGAAAGTTCAATGACCAAATCTGATTCAAGAAATGCATCATTTATTCCTTGTTCTATCAATGGAACTGTTGAAGATGCTTCATATGCATTAGCTCAAGATATGCCTACAGCCACTACATCATCTTCCCAGTCACAATCCAATTCTGTAAAAACTTCCAGCCCAACTACTATGTCAAGGCCAATAGTTAATTCATCCACCTTTTGCATCGAAGATCATAATTTAGTTGATCCTTTGCCATCAATCATTCAGACATCACATTCAAAATCCCCCTCTACCTCCTCAACTTCTTCTTCTTCTTCTTCAGAATCTTCTTCCTCTTCAGATTCTTCATCCTGTTCCCTGAAAGTGACTCCACCACCAACTCCCTCCACTTTCTCTACTCCAGCGTGTGCGACATCTGCACCACTTGATTTATCATTAACAACAAATGGTAGTAGTACTACACTTGGCACTCCTTTACCAACCGATTCCATTGACCATGAAGAATTGTAGGCATTGACCTAAAAGGGAATGAAATTGCCATGACTCAACTCAATTTCCTCATAGTTTGGGTATCATGAACATAACAAATTTTTTAGATTAATACCACACAAGGAGTCAGCTTACATGGAATGGGAATCCCATTTAAGTTCTATTGGCTTCTAATTACAAATACTGTAATCCATATTTTTATTAGTCCCAAAATGTGAAATAAATGTGTCATATGGCACAATATATATATGCCAAATATGTGATAATTAATGTATGTAGATACACTGAAGGAACTGTACTGATGTGACAGAGTATACAGTGTGGAAAGTGGAAAGTAAGATAAGAGGAAACAGGGTGCTCTGTCCAAATCCTAAAAGGACTATCACTTTTAATATTACTGATTTGTGTGTATGTTAAGTGAAGGGATCTGCTTGCTGAGGTTTAGGCCTGCAAGCACTCACTTTTAATGTTATAAAATCATTCTACACAACACACACAAAAGCAGGTGCTCCTCTATGACCAAGAGGATTTGTATTGTAAATTATATACAAGTTACACAAAGGCATTATTTGATAATGAAATTGTCAACTTTATGTCTTTAATATATTTAATTTGATGTTGCATCATCTATGGGATGATTCAGCAATAATATAATAGTCTGTAAAACTGAATAATAATATTTTAATTTTTAGAGTAAATTATTATGCTATTTCTTGATATCACTTGATGAATATTAGATTCAAGAAAATGTACTGAATTACTGTACTTAACTAAGTACAGCATCTCCATATACAGTATAGTCATATATACACTTGAGGTATGTACTTACAATATAATAAATATTAAACTTGTTTAAATATTGTGCTGGTCATTGTGTTGGTTTCAATAGAGATATGAATGATTATGAACTTTGCCTATAATCAACCATCCTATATTTCGGTACTGTACACCCATAAATTAGAATTTTGTAATTTAGAATTTATCATTACCTGATATTGACTGCATATCTGCAGATGCCCTGCATGTAGTCACCTCTGGCACTGTGATAATACTGCTACCAAGATCCTCACATTGATGCTCACCAAGACTCAGTTGCAAAACTTAATTAAGAACTATTGAGCTCTGCCAGCATCAAATACTCAATATTGTTTCTAGAAAACTAATAATTGCTTATTGCTCATTAGAGTTATGGTGGTGAAAAGGACTTAGGTTTAAAAAATTAGGAGTATATGTGACTAAGATCAGCAAAGATGGGTTCTTAATTCGTTTTCAGTAAGGTGCCATTTTCCCGTGCACAACAGAGATGCATAATTATTAATGCATGTGTCCAGTCAAGAGTTGTGTTGTGTTGGTAAGTCTGTGCAGGTCCAATTTCATGGCCCTTTATTTTGACAAACATAAAGAGACAGATTTTAAATACATGGTATAGATGATTTTCTATTAATCCAGATGAGGGCCTGTAGTTTTGTGAGACATTTAACTTTTTTGAAGGTTTTGGACAAGATTGTCAAAAGAGCAGGACTCTTGTATAGGCTTTCTTGCTATCTTTTTTTTTTTAATCTAACTATTATGCATGATACCAATCTATATAGCTCTTTATCAACAATCATGCCAGCACTGTAGGTGCTTGTATCCTTCCATTTAAGGATATAAATGGCAAGTAAGATACTTCTATCCATTATAAACTTTTAATGATTATTATGGAATAACTTATTTAATGGGAGACTTAGTTTGTATTACAAATGAACTTTTATTAGCCAGTACAGTATTTGCTTACTGCAATAGTACATCAAGCTCGCAACTTATGTGTATAAGAGATATCCTCAATGATATTTACATTTGAGAATGTATAGGACATCTTAAAGAATTATGCTAATTGAACTGTATATCTGAAATGATGTCTGCTTTATATTTACTACCGAGGTGTCAAATGCATGGTTGCTAAATATTTTGCCATAGGCCTGTTATTCAACTATGGGAAGTCTTTTTGTGTGACGTAATATATTTTCGTAAGACCCAGACACTTATTGTTTGGTTTCTTTTAAAAAAATAATTTTTACATTTTCTAATAATCACAGGCAAAGTTACAAATATGTTAACTCCAGTGATTATTGATACAGATAGGGATAGTTATTAATTTATTATTTTTAATACAGTGTGAAGAAGGGCCATGTAAAATCAATTAAATACACACAAATCTTTGGAAACATGAGGCTACTTAGAACAAGTACTGTTTTGTCTTTAATCCCAGTCATTATTTACCAAGAATTCTTGATCATGCATCTGGACTATAATCCAGAATTAAATTATGTACCAGTAGCTTCACATATAGCTACCCAATTACTGTACCCATCATCTGAAAATTGTCAGAATATCTCTGTGGATTTTGGCATCATATTCAATCATCACAATTTTATTACAGAAACAATTACAGTATTTAGTACTAGATCATTTGTGGTCAGCTGTATCAATGTACTGAGTAACCTTTTCATGTAGATTATCACAGAGCAAAAAATTTTTCATAACCAGTTCACTGTGTCACCTGTATCATGTATCAAACATTAAAGATAGTGACAATAAATAAAACTTGGGGTGTCACTTTTGTAAGGTTACAATTTAAACGATATTTTCAACCAAAATCAGACATCAGTGTCAGATTATCTTCGATGTAAATACTGGTTATTGTAAGATGGATTTTATGAATAAAATTAATAGAATTACATATTTTCTGCTTGTTAAAAAAAACTGCAAATATGGGTAGTATGTATAATAAATACAGTAGTAAGAAAGTGATCTTTATGTTGTATACATTGTGAAAAAAATCAAATTTTATACTACTACTATACTTAATCTTTCTGTTTCAAAACCATATCAATCTCAAGTAAAGATATTTAAAAAATACTATAAATTATTAGAAATGTACCTATGTAGGTTGAAAGGAGCCGAGAAATTAAATAATCCTGCCCAGTCTTACAGACATCTGCACTCTGCATAAATTAGTACAGTTTATTCCTTGGGAACAAGCTTGAGAATTGATTCAGAGAAGGTAAGAGAAGTCCCAAGTGACAAAAGTGGCATGGTCAGAATTAAAAAAAAAGGCTTGCCATATCCCTCACAACAAATATGAGTTAATATAAATCAATATTAATGCAGCAATACAACTGGTATATTTATTGTTATGGTATTATTATAGTGCAATGTTATCATGATTATATTTGTTGTTTATTACAGTATTATTACCACTAATATTATTTTTATCTGTAATTATTTTTTAAATCCATATTTGAAAAATTTGAGCTTAGACTTTTTAATCAGGTCTCTTTTCTACTGAATGTTAATACCATGAGCATTTCTAGTTTTGGTTTGGTCAATCCTTCAAGATGAGGATTCTCATAAGAACCTTGTTGCCCAGTGCATTCTAATTTTTTTAATTTTAGGAAGGGCTTAACATAAATCATGTTAATGACCGGTACCGTACTCAATACCTGAATTATAAAATATGTTAAGGCTACCAGAGTAAGGGTTATTTTTTGTCTTATGTAATATATACGTATACTAGTTCAAAATTCAGAAAACTTGTAGATAAAAATTTGTGATTAGAAAAAGAAATGTTTCTAAAAAACCCATTCAGTATATCAGAGGAAAGGAGGTTTTATAGCTGACTCATACTTGTTCTATCAAAGAATACTGTATAAAATGACATGACTAACATTTGTACACATCTCATGAAGAATGGTTGTGATTTAAGTATATATACTTATTACATTACCAGAATTTCTACACTGTGTCTACCACTTGAAATACAACGGAAATAGATCATTCCTAACATTCCATTTATTATCAGTACAATAATTCTACTCGAAAGTGCCAATAGTAGATAGCTGTTAAACCTTTTATTTGAAACTTCATGATGGGTTATGACGCATCTTGCAAGCATCTTATAAATAATGAATGTGTTTGCATCAAAGTATTGTATTTTGTGTATACAGGTATATATATATATATATATATATATATATATATATATATATATATATATATATATATATATATATATATATATATATATATATATATATATATATATATATATATATATATATATATATATATATATATATATATATATATATATATATATACTCTGCTGGCCTTGGTAGCCTTTGGAAGGGTTTCTTCACCCATTGATATTTTCATTGGCCAATCATAATGCAGCTCACTTGGTCATCTGGCACACATTCTCACACCTCACACAGTTTTTGAAAGAGGTCCATCAATATTACCATCTTTTAATTACAATACTTTCATTTCCCAACTCCATTGACCACTACCCTAAAGTTTCATATGTTATGCACATTCTGCAGTCAGTTTCACATATTTTTATTGAATTTACGTATAGATTATTTGAAAAACAAAATTAACAGAAATCAATGTAAGCTGTATTTGAATTTTAATATCTACTTTCTGTTTTTTGCACATGTACAATTCTGCAGTATGACTTAAGTTTAGTTAAGACAGAAAAAGGATATAATTCTGCCTTGGTTAATCTGAAAGGAACTGCATCATTGGAATGCTGACCAGTATGTGTGTAATGGATTAGAAGGATAAAATTAGTCCTGAGATTTATTAAAATTGAGTAATATACCGTAGACATGATGGTTGGGAATTCTTATGGTTGTTAGTATGATGTGTATGTTTGGGGCTAATAATGTTCCACACACATTAAGAGACTAATACTTGGTTATGAATGTACAGGATAAAACTTAAAAAAAAATATATCAGATTAAAGAAGGGAAATGTGTATGTAGTGATGTGAGCTTTATATGCTGTTATTTTGTACAGTTTAATTGTGCCATGAATTTTTACATTTACATATACAACAAAATATTCTTCTGTGTTTTATAATTGTATATTGCACAAACTGTTTTCCTCCCATTGGATTTCTCCTGACCCAAATAATTCTGATCATCTTTTCAATTCCATGTTATTTATTTTAGCCAAATAAATTTAAATTAAAACAATTATTTTTTTATTTCTGAACATATGGGGTTCTCTGAAAAGTGTATTTTAAAATTTTTTCTAAGCTCAATATCAGGGGTAGATGCAGGGGAGGGTCCTCCCCCCTCCCCTTTCATCAGAAAATTCCCCCTTTTGATATTCCTGGATCTGCCCCTGAATATTCTTAAAATCCCTAGCAAATGTGCATCCAGTGTAACAAGAGTAGAAATGTAATGAACTATCAGAAACCCTCAAAATTTTGTTTTACAAAAGTATGGATGAATTAAACTTCCCCATTGATTGTTAATTGGCATATGTAAGTTTTATATGAAAAAGGGCATCACCTTTGCATGAATAATTACAGATCAGTGAATTTGACCAGCATAATAATAATAATACAGTAGTACCCCGATTTACGCGATGATTTACGTGATTTACGTGGTCAATTGAACCCACAGGGTACCGCCGAAAGTGAAAACTGAAAACCGCGTAAAGTGAACAACAGAACATATGGGATTAATTCCAATAGAGACTGGCCCGACCCCCAAACTCCACTTTTTCCGACACAACACCTATGTTGTAGTAAAAATAACATGTAAATTTTATGATGGTATGCTCACACAATTAATATTTAAGAGAAATACAGTCGCCAGGTTAATGTCCATTCAAATAATGGACTCAAATCCCCCCCCCCCTCTTCCCAGCCCACTAGCTCCTACCTCTCTGATTAATGTTTGGGTGAAAACTCTAGATTTTAACGTTTAGTAATAAATAATACCTCAGACTAAAGTTAGGATAATATAATTGACATTTCTGGATTCCTTGCAGGTCAGGGAATATTTTGAATGTAAACTTCATATATTTTGCACAAAAGATAAAATATTTGCTTTGTGTAAACCAAATTATTACATTAAATCTAAAATTTGTATGTCTAATGCAAAATCCATGATGTTTATATTCAAAATTATCATCATATTGTAAGAATTCCAGCAATGTAAATTATATTCTGGCCGGGTAATTTGTATGAATTTTATGAGCTAAATAAAAAAAAAAAATTCTACTTCACAATGTATATGAGTAGATGCACCGCGGAAAGTGAAAGTCTGGTTCTGGCAAGGTACCACGTAAATGAGAAATCGCGGAAAGTGAAACCGTGTAAAGCGGGGTACAGTAATACTGTAGTTTTTGCTAATCTCCGTATTTCTTCACTTGTTGTCCAGTCAGTGTAGATTATTCTTAGCATTCGCCTATAGCATCACATTTCAAAAGCCTCCAACCTCTATCTGGTGTCTGCTGAAACTCTCCACGCAAGTGACTCATACAATAGTCCTTGCCATATAAGGCCTTTCATAAGCCTTTTTCTCAAATTGAAATAATGTCCCTTTTCATTAGGCTTTTTAGATGCGGTCTCCCCTTGCCCGTCTGTAGTATAAGCTAGGCAACTGCAGGCACTCTAATCTCTCTGGGTAGTTGGGGTGCCAAAGTGCCAGCACCAGTCTGGTGGCCCTCCATTGGACATTTTCAATCAACTGACAATCCCTAGCATATCTCGGCAACCAGACAGGGTGACAATACTCCAGGCAGGGAAGTTCCATGCTCTTGAAGATCTTCACAAGGGATGGACCATCTATGAGTAGATATCTGAACGACATTCTTATAAGACCTACAGTATTAATTTAGTTGCTAGGTTCACCTTCTCGCAATCGCCCGAGAACTTCAGTTCATTGTCAACATACACACCTAGGTTCTTTTCGCATTCAGTCTCTATTAATACAGTTTCTTAGTCCCGTTGGGACATATGATACGCCTCCTTACCATTGGTATGACCTAAGTGCATCTTCGTACACTCTGTGACATTCTTAGCAGCCATTTCTTCGACCATTCTTGAAGCTCACAGAGATCTTTCTGCAGTTCTTCACAGTCTGTTTGGTTCTTAATTTCCCCAAATAACTTGGCATTGTCTGCAAGCATTTGTGTGGAGGAGTGTATAGCTTCTGGCATGTCATTTATGAAACAAACAAACAATTGGCTCAATACACTGCCCTGTGGCACCTCTATTGTCATGGGTACACATGGCGATTTCGTACCATTAATCATCACATACTGCTCACGATCATGCAGAAAGTCTCCGATCCACGCTAAGACACTTCCCCAAATCCAGTACCCTTCCAGTTTAATTCTCAGCCTTTCATAGGGTATGCTGTCGAAAGCCTTGACAAAATTAATGTTTATATTGTCGATATTGCCACCCTGTTCCAGAATTTGGGTCCAAACATCCAGTACCTTGAGTAATTGTGTTAAATAGGAGAGTCCCGGACAAATGATGAGCAGGACAAGAGAATGTGTGCCAGATCCATGAACCAAGTAAAGTCAGAGTGTAGAAGGGCTGAAAAAGAGTTCCATAGGCAGATTGCAAGTGAGAACAAGTCAAACCCAAAGACTTTTTACTACTACGCAAAGTCAAAATTATAAAGGCGAGTAGGCATATTGGACCTGAGGCTTGAAGATGGTAGTTCTGCAGATTCTGACCAGGATAAGGCCAGATTGACGACACTGGAGCAGGTTCCGATATATTCATGAGCCAGTTCATGCCCAGTACTTGCCAGCAGTCCATAACAGGGACGTGACCAACCGCCCAAGCAGCTAATGAGCCGATCAGTGGCATAGTGGATATTTTTTTTTATGGGATTAGCCCACCAGGGCATAGGTCAATGACCTACAACAGGGTCTGGGGTGAAATAATAATAATAATAATATTATTATTAATGTAATGAGGGTTTTTTTTATAGTGAAGGGGTTCTTATAGGTTGACAATCCCTTATCCAAAATACTTGGGACCAGAATGGGTAGGTTAGGTTAGCTTTTTTTTTAACGGCGATTAGACCACCCGGGCACAGGTCACAGACCCACATTGGGGCTTCTAGGAATACGAGGGGATCCCTACACATGAACCATGCGGCGGTCGACAAAATTAAGAACAAAACCCAGAAATTCAAGATGTGGGTTGGGTCAAACGATGAGCAAGACAGGAGGATGTATGCAAGAGCCAGAAACCAAGCAAAGATAGAGTGTAGAAGGGCTGAAAAGGAGTTTCAGAGGCTGGTTGCAAGCGAGGTCAAGTCAAACCCAAAGGCGTTTTACCGCTATGCAAAGTCGAAATTGAAAACGCGAGTAGGAGTATCAGACCTGAGGCTGGTGGATGGTAGTTACCCAGATTCTGACCAGGATAAAGCTGAGGCATTGAACAGCTTCTTTTCCTCGGTGTTCACAAGAGAGGATGCAACTAACCTTCCTGTGTTTGAGGACAGACGGTTCGACACAGCACTGACACACATTGTGTTCACAGAAGAGGGTATTAGAAATAATCTGTCCAGGCTAAAGGTCCATAAAAGTCCCGGACCTGACATGGTGCATCCTAGAGTGCTAAGAGAGTTGTGCAACGAGCTTGCAGAGCCCCTGAAGATCCTGTTTTGTAAATGCCTGGATGAACAAATGGTCCCCAGTGAATGGAAAGTGGCTTATGTGAGTCATATCTTCAAGAAGGGCGATCGTCACTCCACGAACAACTATAGACCGGTGAGTCTGACCAGCATAATATGTAAAGTACTTGAGAGTATTATCAGAGATGCCGCAATGGAACATCTAATACGAAACAACCTTGTATAGGATTGCCAACACGGTTTTATGCTGGGGCGCTCCTGCTTAACACAATTGCTCAAGGTATTGGATATTTGGACCCATATTCTGGAACGGGGTGGTAATATCGACAATATTTACCTAGATTTTGCCAAGGCTTTCGACAGTGTGCCCCACGAAAGGCTGAAAATCAAACTGGAAGGGTATGGAATCCGGGGAAATGTCCTAGCGTGGATAGAAGACTTTCTATATGACCGCAAGCAGTGTGTGGTGATTAATGGCACGAAATCGTCATCTGTACCTGTCACAAGTGGGGTACCACAGGGCAGTGCATTGGGCCCGCTGTTGTTTGTTTGTTTCATAAATGACATGCCTGTCGTTGTACACTCCTCCATACAAATGTTTGCCGATGACGCCAAGTTATTTCGGGAAATTAAGAACCAAGCGGACTGTGAAAAGCTGCAGAAGGACCTCTGTGGGCTCCAGGAATGGTTGAAGAAATAGCTGCTGAGATTCAATGTCACGAAGTGTAAGAGGATGCACCTGGGGCGTACCAACGGTAAGGAGGCGTATCATATGTCCCAACGGGATGAAGAAACTGCACTAGTTGAGACTGAATGTGAGAAGGACCTCGGTGTGTATGTTGACAATGAGCTGAAGTTCTCGGGCCATTGCGAGAAGAAGGTAAATCAGGCAAATAAATTATTGGGTCTTATAAGAAGGTCGTTCAGATATCTAGACGGCCCGTCCCTCGTAACGATCTTCAGGAGTGAAGTGCTTCCCCATCTGGAGTATTGTCATCCCATCTGGTCCCCGAGATATGCTAGGGACTGTCAGTTGGTTGAAAATGTTCAAAGGAGGGCTACCAGACTGGTGCCTGCACTTCGGCACCTCAGCTACCCTGAGAGATTGGAGTGCCTGAACTTGCCTAGCTTATACTACAGACGGGCAAGGGGGGACCTAGTTGAGGTGTATAAGCATCTCAGGGGGTCACAACTTAAGATTGAAGAAGCCGCAAGTCCAGAAAACTGTGAGGGCAAACTTTTTCGGAGTGAGGGTTGTAAACTCTTCCAACAATCTACCAGAGAGTGTTGTGACGGCACCGAGTGTGAGCTCTTACAAGACAAGACTTGAACAGCACTGGAGCAGGTTCAGGTACATTCAGGAGCCGGTGCATGTCCAGTATTTGCCAACAGTGCGTGACAGAGACGTGACCGATCGCCCGGGCGGCTAGCGAGCCGATCTTTTGGTGAAGAAGATATATGAAAAGGAAAAGTAATCAAAGACGTGACCGATCGCCCAAGCGGCTAACGAGCCGATCAGTGGCGAAGAGGATAAAACGAAATAGGTGTAGATCTATATGGGTATATTCAGGAGCCGGTGCATG